GATGTCAGAACAGGCGATGTATCACATACCTGATCCCTATTCCACTACTCTATCCTCAAGACTGCACACTCTCGTAGCTTATTGCTTAGCAGTAGTTACAAGCACCATGACCTGTTTGTTAAGGCACAGCAGGAGCTACACTGGAAGGTATTTGAGCTAGAGAGATTATGTGAAATTTACTAGTCATACAGTTACCACTCCCTCTGAAAACAGCACACAAGATGTGGCACTATAATGGAAACACTGGAAGCTATTTCAACACCATTAGCTAGCAGAGCAAAGGGCTTGATGGTAAGGCTAAAGAGCTATTCCTTTCTGTTTGGGCTCTCGGTTTTAGAAAAATATTCAAGATTTTGCATAGTGCTTCAGAAGAACTGCAACATGAAAACCTAAATTTATCAAGTGCCATGGAATTAGTAGGAAGCAATATTGCTGCTCTTCAACAAATGAGAACATCTGAGAGCCAATGGAAGGAGTTATGCGAAGCTAAAATAATTGCTAAGGAACTTGAAATTGATATTCCAGGTCAGGAAGTTGCAACTGCTGAGCACAGCAGTACAAAAGACCACCTAACAAAATATCCTTCAAGCTGGCCTTGTTTTTAGTACACCGGGCCTGTCATCTACAGCTGGTCCCAAGAGCACTCAAGAATCTATAATCTGATTTCTACTATCCTGTTCTGGATAGAATTCTTGCTGAGCTTGATAGATGATTCACCTCCAACTGGAATTTGCTTTCTGCACTGCTTGTGACCAGAGTGAATATTTTCTTGATCTATGAGAAACTGAAAATAATTGCAGATTCAGCAGGCACCTATTTTGGTGATCTGGATGGAGAAGTCAAAGTTGCCAAGAAGCACATTGCACATGCACACACACAAATACTTAAATTTCTGAATTCTAGAATGTTCTCAACAACTTACCAAGGGGTTACCAGTCTGCTGTCTATTGTAGATAGTGGTGTGAACCATCCAGTTTCTACAGCATCAAATGAGAGGTACTTCTCTGTGCTCAAGAGAGAGTAAAGGACTACTTAAGCTCCACAATAGGAGATAGGCACCTAAGTGACTTGCTAATTTTAGCCTGTGAATGTGAAGCTTCAAAACACTTAGATATCAACAAGGCCATTGACAGTTTTGTCAAGATGAGACCATAGTATTATCCATTGTTTTAGCTCATGTCTGAAGTGTTATTTGTTTTCAATAATTTATTTACCTTTAAACATATCTGGAACAAATTAACTGTCTAATTCTTCTCTTCACAATTTGGAACATAAGCCATTTAAAAATACAATTGCAGGAGTAAAGATTTTAAGCAGATTTTATTTCTCTGCTAAAGATAGCATACAAAGTATCAAAGTTGTGTTTCTGGTATCTGTTAAGGCTCTAAAATTGATACCTCAAGGCTTGGGATTAGGAATATCTTGCTATATTATCTCCTGATTGTTCTAAACTGAAGTTAAAATATGGCTTTAATTGGTATTATTCTTTATATAGAAATTAGATACTGTGCTCCTGTCAGCTAATTTCTAAGTTACTATCTGCAAAAATTTAGAGTTTTCCAGTGCCTAAGTGGCCCCTGTACCAAAATCTGAAATGGCACCGAGAGCAAACAATCCTTTTCCCCCCACGAGGCA